CAACAAGTGGCTGCGGTCCGCCGTTAGCTAGCTGTTGTGGATAACCAACCTGTTGGTCAATATTCCAGCTCGGCTGGGGAAACCGTACAGTTGGCGCCTGGACCGGACTCATCTGTAACCCATTAAACTGCTGGGTTTGAAACCCAGGCATCCTTCCACTTATATCCGTGGCCATGGGTTTCCCTTGCAAATTCGGAGCCTGTGGGGGTGGTTTTCTAACTAACGGCCATGGATGGGGCGCTGGAGGCTGAACAACTGGACCTTGCATGCTGAGAGGCACTACCGGCTGGTAGGGTAGACCTGCTGGAGAATTTTCTGGACGCATCGCACCTCCAAAGGGTTCAGAGACTGTGTCCGGTTGTTTACCTTGTAACTTTTCACTACCTTCTCTGTCATCGAGGCTGGGGGTAGTAGGACGCTTGTTCTCGGGTATGCCCCCTGGTTCCACGACATTGTTTGTTTCAATTTGAAGTTGTTGCGCAGAAACAGTCACTTGCCTTTCAGAAGCGGCTATACTATGTTCTGCATCCTCTTTTTTACTTCCATCAGCGTCGAAAAATTCTTGAGACATGTGCTTGGCAGGGTCTGCACTCATTTGTGGCCCCTCCTCTTTGTCAGTTGCGTTTTCACGGTTAAAAGTACTTTTCTTTTCTTCACCTCTATCACTGTCTAAGATCGGAGGGCTATCTTTCGTGTAATCCATTGAATTACTGGCAGAGGCTGTGTGGGTATACTGAATGTCCAAAATGCCAGGTATTTGTTCGGCTTCAGTCGGCTCAAAATTCTCTGTGGGCGTGTCATTCCCTTGGGTGCTTTCTGTTGAATGCACGAACACAGTGTTTGTTGGTGTGTATCCGATTTCTTCCTGTGTATCAGTTGTCGGCGTTTGATAATGCAGTGGGTCTTCCGTTTCCGAGTTAATGATAGACATATTTATCTCGGTGTCATTCAGTATGGCCTTAGCCAATATCGGATGTGCACTTTCGACATCCAATGGCCGGGCGCTCTCCGATGCGATGCTGATAAGTGAGATATTGCCATGTCCATTTGGGGGAATACCGTATGCCGGAAACGCAACTAAATGAGCAAAAAACGTCCTCAACGTTGAGTTATGGATAGAAAAATAGGCAACAGGCTGAATATAAATATGCTTATTCCTATAACGCTGAATGTATATAGGCGTGCTAAACATTTCGTATCAGTTTTCTAGTAATTTGGGGTTAGCCGTGACTTATTACCGGAAGTCTTGTTTTGAGTAAAATGTCCACACAGTGCAGAAATCCTGTGTGGAATAGTTTTGCTGCTCATAAATAAATATGCGTATTCAAGTCCGCTGGTTTTCTTTAAGCCGAACCGCTCACCATTCTTATTTAATTTGAGCCAAAATAGAGATTGCCTGATTAGTTTATTTATTTCATATTGTTTATGGATCGTGTTATTTCTTTTGATACAAAAATTAACAAGATATTGGTCTAGTTTATGTGAACGGTTCTGGAAATGCGCATTCCCCCTCAATCAGACATTTGACAGAATATATTACCTTATGAGGATATTTCCAAATTGCCCTGGTTTGCGTAAGAAATGGTGAAGTCTCAAGCAAATTTATCTAAAGGCCGTTAATTTAAGTTTTTAATTTCAGTTCAGGACTCTGCTAGCATCAGGAATATAACAAAATTGCTTTTAAGTCTTTTAATTGCAGCTTATAACGGGACTTTTGTTGAAATAGACGACTCAGAAACAACCTATCTCTGTGAGTCTGTGAGTCATCGCAAACGTTACTGTATTAAGACGTTTGAGGCATAATTGAGTCTGTGCGCAGTTATGTCGATTCTAAGCAAACAGCTACACAGACTTCAGTAGACAAGATTGATTTGTGTAACATGAATATTTTAGTGCCTTACTGGTAAACGCAACGAGTGCAACTGCTCTTAATTATTTCTTAATTGTCACACAGCGCCTCAAAGGGACTACATAAAAAATCAGTGTCACTTTATTGATTATATAGGTATGGATAGCGGGCATTAAAATGACATATAATCATGGGGTGATACGGACGAAGGAGACTGGAATGCACGTGCCTTGTCTTTATGTCAGCCGTGCTTCGAATTCAGACCAGTGAGAGCTAAGATGCGAACAGGAGTCATTTGCTATCGGAAATATGAGCAAAACGGCTGTGCTAGGGGTCATGGGCGTCTGTTCTGATCAGTACGATCCTAAATAATTATATCTAATTATTAGGTGGATTTGGGAGATTTGACTATTTCAGTTGGCCCCATTGTGTAAACTTCGCGATGGGAGACGAATCCACACCACAGGGAAGACTTTTGCGCGGCCAACGCTCTACCATTGAGCTAGAAGGCTCACCGTGAGCTGTTACTTTAATCACATTTGGGACCATTTACCCGCCAAGCTTACTGTTCGTATGGAATTGACCATTACGGATAGAGTAAGCTGAATGCCCAGTCAGGATTTCCTAAGCAATCACCCAGAATCCACCAGAATGTCTACTAATCTCACTTGGAGTGTTTGGCAGATTTGGATAATTCAGTTGAACCAGAAACGGGTTTCTGCTACTGTTTTCTGGTATGGTCTTTGATGATAAATCCGCAACGGACGTCGAAACGTCAGGCGAATAAACGTATTGCCCCAGCGATCGAGGCTCCTTCTTCTCAGTTGACCCAATTATGAAAAGTTTCCACAATGTGACTAAATTCATGGCTATGGGTGAGCCTCGTAGCTCACTGGTAGAGCACTGGCTGTACAAAAGCCTTCTCTGTTGTGTGGGTTTGGATCCCACCGAGGCTGCGAAATTTTCAAAATTGGGTCAACCGGACTACATTTTAGTCCAAGGTTACTCGTGAGCTATCATAGTTTATAGCTACATTATGAAAATGGTCCGCATTAAAATTTGTTGTTTTTGAGACTTAAACTGTGTACCATCGACCGCAGACTAACAATATACCAGATAAAAGCCCTCCGTCACTTGTTTCCTTGGTCCGCAACACTTTTTAATCATTGACTTCCTGCTGCTATTCAAAAACACGTAGGGAACCCAAAACCTCGGTCTCGTGGTTGAATGGATAGGCATTTCTGGTTCTGTAAGCGAAAATGCATCAGTGAATACACTTTTAAGAAGGTGGAAGGAGTTAGTGGCGGTCAATAGACATAAACAGTAAGAATCTAGGCATTAGATTTGTGTGCCTTTTTCTGATTATATATTAATGATAGTCAACTTCACCTTACTTTTATAGACACGAATTATAACTTGATGCGCAGTGTAAGCGAAATCGGCTAGTGGTGTTTGATTTGTGCTTTTAATAAACGGTCAAGAAACCGCCTTTGAGCTGTTTCTTTTGACCCAGTCACCTATGGAACGCGATTCATTAACGCAGAAATACTACTGTTTAGAAATGCGACACTTTTGTAGGACCGACGTGACTAAAACGAAATATATTTATTGTCTCTAGAAGTGAACATACGAGTTCCAGGAAACAGTCTAGAAGAAGACGACGCGATCACTGGAACAAGAGTTTTATTTTCCTGACGTTTCGGAATCTGTCGAGAATCCTTAATAATAGGTATTGGTAGGATAGTCTGAGCTATGCGCAGATAGGGCAAAAATAAAACTCTCGTTCCAGTGATCGCGTCGGCTTCTTCTGAAATACATTTATCGATAGCAAATTTGGCAAACTAAACCAGTCGGACTTCCTCAGGAAAGATACTTCTAACAGATTACTTTTTCAGGTTTTTAATCTCCAGAGAAATTAATTTCTGATCGTGGTATTTATCAGTATATATAAGGTCTATAGGCGTAGCCCGAAATTGTTAGTGTATATTTGTGTTGAAACCCGTCAACCCCAATTAAATATACACTTGTTGCCACAGGGCAGTCTTAAGTAGTATTAATTGACGTTTTTCTCGCACCGGAGTTAACCGCGGGGCCTATGTATGGAGATAAATAATTAACTTATTACGTTAATGACTCTACAAGCAGATGATCTTCAGTTTCCATATGCCTTGCCTACTTATGGTATTTTATGCTTGTGTATGGTGTTCTCAATAAAAAATTATCCTATGTCCTACCCAGCGTAATCACTTTTGCGAATTATGAACGCTTTTTATGCTTTTTCACTACCAATAATTTATTTACTTTTGCAGGCTATAGGAGCTGCGGGTGCAGCGGGTAAATAGGCACAGGTAAGCAAAAGCATTCTATTATATGAATGGTTTTGTTGTGAATGTCAAGAATAACTCCACAAACGTTAATAGAACGTTAACGTTTCTGGCAGGTCTAAAGGCACTTAACCCTCCGCCTTTGGTTTAGTGTTACCGACTGCGCTACTTTAAAACAGAACCAGTGATAAAAAAGCCATTCATTTTGTGGATAGAAATAGGACATCCATTGAAACACAAAGTTGAACATCGAAGTCATGCTACAACTAAGGAGAACGTTCCTTGTGACCTGTACACTTCGATTCTATCTAAATATCTGTATACATTCTATAAAGAAAGTATCATTTAACCTTATTTTGAATAGTTACAACAATTGGCTTACATTAAACTGCTCGGTTATTTTTATTTTCTGATGTTACATGCAATTAACTTCTATGTTCCCGTATTACATATTTGCGGGCTTCGGTGATACTATAGTGATATTTAAGAACTATTCTTACTGCGAAACCTAGAGGCGTTCGTGGCCACTGGCTAACCAAACCTACTTAAGATCTAGGATCTCTCCATAAAATAAACACCAACCAGCTTTATAGTTTCATTCTACAAAAGAAGGCGTATTTCAAGCTTATTATTGGTACAGCGAACGCATACTTAATTTAGTAAAGGCTATAAGCTGTTTTGAACTTCCCATTGTGTAGTTCTCCTGGCTATGATGAGTTAAAGAAGAATGTGTATTAAGCAGATAGGTTGAGTCAGAAGTAAGTAATATATGATTCATAAACAATGGGACAGCTCGTAGTTTAAAAGCAATCTTAAACTAGCTGTTTCCTTTGGAGGCCGTTAATGCACTTATATATGTTTCTGTAGATCTTTGTAAAACAAAAAACAGCATTATCATCTTAAAAGAATATAATCCAAAACGAAAGAAATGTAACACGCGTATATGCAGAGACCGATATTAGTACGATTAAAACGCAAATGAAGGTATTTCTACTAAACGCAACGAAAAGTATGCATATTTTGAAAGTCACCAATTTTCCCAAATTAAGCCCCTTTTTCTAGCCCCTGGGCAATATATGTACATATATGCGAAGATTCGACATCCAGATTCCTTATCGCGCTCATCACCCGAAGCGCGCTTACTGACCGATGGAAAACGAGCGCGGAAAATGTTAGAAATGAAATATTTTCGAAAATGTGAATGCAAAATGCAAATACCAAATAAGTTTCATGAACCCATCCCATCTTCCTCTTCGTCAGGAAGTGAAAAACCGTCGGTTTCCTGCTGCCTACCAGTAGTCATAACGGATATTGCCTGCCCTGGCAGAAAATACTCTTCTAACCAGTCTTTACAGGGGTAAAGAGGGAAAATATTTCAAACGGAAATCGTTTCCTTTTACTCCAACAACCTACTCTTTGCAACTGTACTAAATTCTCCTGTGTATAGCAGTGCGCTTGCGTAAGCTGAAGCATTCAGTAGAGCGGCAAGCTTACTCAAAAATAATAAAATCTAATAGAAAATTGTTTTTCTTCCAAAGCCCCTTAAACGAAGAGGAGAAAAAGCCGTTTTTTAAAAAAATAAGTTTTTCATTCGCCAAAAACTTCACAAGGAGTTCTGTGATATTGTATACCTGTAATATCGGTCGGAGGCCTACAGACAGCCTCTTATTCAAAGGGAATCATATTTTCTTAGCATATCCAAATATTTCCTCAGTAGGCACAGACATTTTTTCCAGAAAGCGGCTATGTTAACTTTCA